ATGTTGATAGCTGTAGAGGGGCTTCAGGCCTATGGTTCATAAGGCTGCTATGAGTCATGCTCGACTTGAAGGCAATCAGCAAGAACAACAACAGGACAATGACTCTGCCCTTAAATGTCTGTGTATGAGGGTAGGTGGCAGGGGTACAGGAAATGGAGGAGCAGCAATTTTTAATGCTAATTTCAAACAGTGAAAAGTGCTCTAAATAATTATAAGCAGAATCTGGAACTGGCAAATCCACAGAGATAAAAGTTTATTAGAGGTGGTTACCAGGAGATAAGAGGTAGGAAGATCAGCAGTTATTACTTAAGAGGTACTGAGTGTCTGTTAAGAGTGATGAACAATGGAAATAGAGGTGAAGAGTGTACAAAATGGAGAATTGTCATTAATGTCACCAAATTGTTATTAAGTGCTATCAGGTTAGGCTGACATGCAAAGGCATGTACAATAAACACAACACTAGTCCTGAGACAAGCTTGCAGCTATTGCTATGTTGGAGCCCACTGTTACAACTCCTGATCTTATTAAGTCATACTCTTCTTCACTGATCCTCTACTCTACAAATTATGACGTCCCTCTTCAGAGACTGGTCCATCCTGACAACATGGTCTAAGGAAGTGAGAACTCTAGCTCTTTTAATACAGATTTGTTCCCTCTTTCAGCAGTCCAGAGTTAGTTCGATATTCTTCTCCAATTTCCTAATTCAAATGCATCAGGCTCCCTTACTCACTGTCCACTTTTTACATATATATGATGCAACCAAAAATACTATGGCTTGGGTCAGGCACACCTTTGTCCTCAAAATGACATCTTTGCATTTTAACACTAAAAAAATCTTTTGCAGCAGATTTGTTCATTGAATATGTCCTTTGATTTAATTCTTTATTCTAAAGGCTTTGACTATGGATCTGCATTAAATAAAATTACTGACAACTTCCATTTTTCTCCATGTATCATGATGTTGTGTATTGGTCTAGTGATAAAGAATTTTATTTTTTTCATGCTGAGTATAATCCATACCGATGGTGATAGGTTATAATCATCACCAGTAAATGCCTCAAGGCCTCTTCACTTTCAACAAGCAAGGTTATGTCATCTCCAAATCACAGGCTAATGAGTCTTCCTCTAGTCCTCATGCCTTGCCGTTCTTCACATAGTCCAGCTTCATGGATTACTTACTCAGTATATCCCTAAGATTTCCTATGAAAGATTTTATTTATAAGAAAATTTCTTTAAAAGAAGACAACCAAGTTCTTCTTCCCCTGTATTAATCTGGAAGCTCCACTGAAATTTATCCACTATTGGTGACTCTCTCTGATTTTGAAAAACAGACAAAGTGACAGGTCACTAAATTGTTGCTGTTGTTGTTGTTGGGTGTCACTGAGTCAAGCACAACCCCCAGCAACCCTATGAACAACAGATCTAAACCCTGCCCTATCCTGTGCCATCCTCACTTTCTACTGGACACATTAGAGCCCACTGATGACTAACTAAATGACATACCTAAAAATAGTTTAAAATAGCAAACTTTTTGTTATATTTATTT